ACGCGTGCTAACAATTCAGCCATCTACCCCTCAAACCAAGAATTATGCAAACAGAAAGATATATTTATGTTGAAAAGACCACATTTGATAATTCTATTGCTTAATGATAAATAGTGTTGTTCAAGTCACAGTTGTCAACAAACCCATAGCGTGTGGGTGGGGTGGGGTAGTACGTTAAGGGGAGAGTATGTTGATGTGAGTGAATGAAGAATGCTTTTATTATTTACTATCTCAAGTTACTCTCTTCATATACAGGAGCCATATTGACTCAGTGAGTAAGATGTTGGCTCGCTAACCTTAAGGTCCCGTGTTCGATCCTTGCATTGGGCATGAAAGTTTGTGTGGGTTTTCCGGCATGGTTTCCCCTAGTCAGGATGGAGGATTGGTAAGGGACACTGTATAGTTGTTCAGATGGTATGAAAAACTGAGGTGCCGTGTACATATTGACGTGCACATAAAATTCCAATGGAATTTTTTTCCATAGATTCATATTTCATTATCTTGTTTTGAACTATTAAAGCAACCACAGACAGCTGTTTATCTAATTCCTATATAATGAATGTTTAATGAGCATGTTGAATTTATAATAAAGTCAGCATGATGTTATAAAGCTGTATCTAGTGTTTACTGTGACAATCTACAACAAGCCAATGACAAAGTTAAATCTCAAGTACATGTAGGCTACTAATTATACAAAGGAAATAATTGTTTAACATTTTTGTGCACTGTTGTCACAATCACTTAGGTTTTATGCTTTGTAGTAGTGATTTGACTTTAAACATGCATTACGTTTAAAGCTAAATATGCCTACTGCAAGTCTCTCTTTCGGCCTTAAATTTTCTCTAAATTATTAATAAGGCATTTATTAACAAAACAAGACCATAATCAACTCTTGATGACATCAGATAATCGAGACTTTAACTAGATTAGAACAGTTTGCCATTTAAAAATTTAATTCAAAAATGGAAAAGTGACGTTAAGCTATTATAGCAAGAATGGTCACACTGTAACCCGGGTATGATTTAATCTTATGTATATATTTAGCCCTAATTTCTTTCACATTCATTTAATGTCAGATCTTTGTTTAAAAATTCGTAAAAATTGTTTAAAATCACCAAAAATCATCTAATTTGTACTTGTGTCCAGTTTAAAGCTGACCATTCAATTATCAGTTGGTTTTAAACTGGACACAAGTACAAATTAGATGATTTTGGGTGATTTTACATGTAAATGATTTTTACAGATTCTTAAACAAAGATTTGCTATTAAATGAATGTGAAAGAAATTAGTGCTAGATACACAAGCTTAAATGATACCCAGGTTACAGTGTCGGCTCTTTATCTAAATCTTACATAATGTATCTTTAATAAAAAGCTGAGTAAATAATCCTATACTGAATTTATCGTATAACATGTCTATGTGTAATCCAGATCAAAGTATAGTAAGTTCTATGTAGTGTAATAATGATTTGATGTACCAGAGACATAAATCGTGGCCCTTGCTGATTTCTGACTGGCAATGTCACAATAGATTGTGTTTGATCTTATAAAGCTGCTGAGCGTAATTTGTATTTTTTGCACTCTATCTAATCTTTTATGACTCAGTCCTCGCTAAAATGTAGTTAAATTTATCATATAACTAAAGAAACAAAACTACTATAAATTATTTTCTGACTTCGATTAAACACTAGGGCTGGCAGAAAATGTTGATATCGCTAATAATCATCAGTAAAGCGTTTTGAAGATCGATAATTTATACAGATTTAAAGGAGCTAAATCGCTAAAATTTGGGACCTAGAAATTGACAAGAGTAGGTCGCAACACATATAATACTGTAGTATGAATATATATAAACTGATTTACATTCAATGGTTTCCGTTTTTACTCCAATTTCAAATCAGTTATGTTCGGCGAAATAAGCCAGCAGTCTCAAGCGAGTGCAAATTTCTAGCGTTTGGTTATTCCAGTCTACATACGCCGTTTGATTTGGTGCAATGTGTCTAGCCTCGTCCCTCGAGTCTCTTGATACAACTTTGATTGAAGCGCATTATGGTACACGATTCGTGTACCAATGGTAAAATGTTTATTTTGTCTTAAATATTGGATATCAAAAGCCCATCTTTTTCCGGTAAGATCACAACATGAATGTTGATTTAATTTGACAAATAAATCATGTTTTAAATGATGAAGATTTTGGATGATATTGAGTTAGAGACTTAGCTACTTTAAAATATCGATAATCGTGCAATTAGGTAGTGACTTGTGAGAAGAAATCCATAAAGATAAACCTGATCACAGTATTGTTTGCGCAACGCGTGCTTGGGCCTAGTTCGGTAACTGTAATTAAACAGAAAAGTCATTCAACACACACTTTTTGTTTTTCACGAGTGATGCCAACTCTAAGAACTGTTGGACACTTATGACAAGAGCAAATAGTTCCTCATGATGTACATGTACATGTATCTTATTTTGGAGTGTTGAAATTAGATAAGATCTCACAGTGACCAATAGTCAAAAACATGAATATAGCCAAGGCATTCTGTGTGCATGAGAAATCACTACTGGAAATAAACTCACTAGAGTAGGCACTGAATCAATTTAAAAGGGAAAAAAATATATTTTACTCATATTATTATTGTTCTGGTCATAAGTGAAAAAGATATGTCAAGCGATGACTGGTGGGTCAATCTTCCAAACAAGGTTGATTGAGTTTTGACACTGGTTTTTGGTATAGAATGCTATTATTTTATAGTCATATCAATGAAACAAATTCTACATGTATATAATCATATTACAGCAAAAACTTGCATATACTTTGTTATTCATATATTATGAATGTTAATTGAGTTTTGATACTGATATTTGGTATACATGTAGAATGCTATTATTTTATAGTCATATATCAATGAAATAAATTCTACTTGCATACATAATGATATTACAGTATACATTTAAAGTTTACATTGTAAACTCTCATATACAAATTATGAATGTTTTTTAAAAAAAAAAATGGAAGTAAAAATAGTTTGCCGATATTTTTGACCATTGATGGGTGGCGATTAGGCTATTGATACTTGAAAACAGTATCGATTGCCAGCCCTATTAAACACCACCCCATCTAAAGAGTTTACAAAATGTTAGTAGGTGGCACTGCATGTTTATTAAATCCTTGTAAATACAGAAAGGAATTGAAACATGTTTGGATTGATATTCCTTCTAGTGTTTTAGTGAGTCAACTATGTGTTTACTATTTTTCACATGGAAACAATTGTAAGGTACAAAAAAAATGTATGCTAAAGACCCGAGCATCGTAAATCATTCTGACGTTTCATTATCTTAACTTAAAGATACATTATATGTAAGAGCTAAATCTGCCTACTGCAGACATTTATTTTGACTTCAAATGTTAAAACTATTATTTAGACATTCATTCACCTGCCGATGCTATAATCAACTCTCTAGATCAATAGATGGCTGAGATTTAAATGTATTGAAACATAATAACCATTTAATACTTTAATAGAAAAGTAGATAATCAAGACTGGTCTTGATAGTCAAGTACATGTACCATTGCTACAATAATCTACAACTTCAAACACTGATAACTTTGCTCAGAATAATGAAATGAAATGGGGTTAAACGTCCTACTGTTCTGCTCCGAACTGGGCTAATGAAGACAGGCATACGCCATACAGTGTGCTATGAGGGAAATTTTGTCCGGACAGCGGCACTATATATAAGGCCTACTCTTATATCAAATTCCACCTGTCAGGGGATCTTTTACGTGCACGCCAGTGTGTACACGGGACCTCAGATTTTTGTCCCCTCCGAACGACTAGACAGCTGTCCTTGTCAGACACTCCGTCCTGCATCACTTACAAGGGGAAACCACGCCGAAACAATCTGGATGAACTTTCTCGGCCAATGCAGGGATTGAACACCTGACCTCCAGGCTAGCGAGCCAGCGTCTTACCCACTATGACCCCCCCCCCACGCGCTCAGAATAAAGTAATTTGAATGAAAATTTCAATATATTCATTTTCCATTAACTTTTTTTTAACTACATGTATTATAGTTGTTTATCTAAATGTTGCATGTACTAGTGTATCTTTAATGGATTAAACAGGAAAGTACAATCTCAAATCACTGAATGTCTAAAGGTCAGCATTTTATGAAAAATATCAAATTAGTTGTCTATGTGCCTTGTTGATGACTGCATCAAAGATATCCGAAAACTGCCAAATTGTTCAGCTACTCCTGCGTCATTATGGAACGCACAGTTCATTAATTCATTTCAAATGATAGGGCCTATATCACACAAGCTCCAATACAATTATAATACGGTATTCAAATCAAACTATAACTAAAATAAAAATAATAGTTATAAAATAGGCATAAGGCCACTATAGATAGATATATTTTAGTTTAAAAAAGATTTACGCACTCATTTAAATAATTTTGTATATGTAGTTGTTAAAAAAGAATATGTATGGTACATGTATTCTAACTTTCTAAGGGTTATTCTAACTTTCTAAGAGGCCCCTAAACCTTGAGGCCCTGCCACAGGGGTAATCAGTCACCGGATACAAATGAGCCGGTAATAAACAAGGCTGAACTCGGTGAGTGAGTGAAACCATGGTGGCTCATTGAGTAAGGCACTATATAGCTCGCTAACCAAGAGGACCAGCAGGGTTCAATTTGTCTGGATTTTTCTGCATATATTTTCACCTTGTCAATGGTTCAAAAAGATCGAGGACCTGGCCAGATACAGCACATATTCCGAAGGGTCGAAAAAACATGGTCCTATGTGTAGTCTATAGCCTACTCTTGGCCATTGGCATTGGAATTCAATTTACCAGGCACCCTACAGCAAACGTCCGTCTTCCATATCTCTAATCTCGATTGGTACAGAAATCGTGGACATTTACCCCCATTTCCATTTACTTGACTTGACTACATTAGAATTGATATCAATCTTTAGAGAAAAGATTTTAAACGAACCTAAACCAGCAAATTGTTCGAAGTTTCCTGGCCCTGCATCTGAGGAAGCTCCCAAAACATCATTATTTGAAGTAAGCTGCCAATCAAACTGACCATCTGATATTGACATCCGGTCACTATAACTACCATAACCTCCTTCCCCTGGTACTGATGAACGTCGAATATCTGTATTTTCAGCAATTGGTAAGGGGCGGGTCAAATCTCCTCTGTCACTTTCGTCGGTTGTTTCTGAGAACGTTCGATAATCTGAGGTATTAGAGTTGATGTCATCGGCGAAAGAGCCGGCATTGGCTCGCTTAGGGTCTTTTCGCTTCGCCATTTAATTTCAATCGAAATCATGCATTGTATAAAACTATATGAAACGGAGATTTAAAAAATAATCTATAATGTAAACTATTAAAGCTTTAAGTCAGCCATTTTAGTCTCAATCTACCGGTTTTTTTCGTGTCTTTACTATTTACTAAAGTACACCGGAATACTGGATAACGGAGTATAATAGGAGGCGAAATAACTCTTGCGACTTAACCGAATGCAGACCACCAGTGATTTCGCCAGTGACTATTATTATTATTATAATTTTATTCATTTCTCTTTGCCCGTCTCCAAATTTTCACTGGGTAGAAGGCTCCATCCCACCGACGGAGCAACACCAGGCCATGTCTTGCTCCAAAGTGTGCATAGAAGAGAAAAGAAGAGAATAGAAGAGAAAAGAAGGGAATAGAAGAGTTTAGAGAGAAAGAGAGAGAAGAGAACATGAAGTGACCTTCGGCTATCGACCCACGCATATTTTCAAATTTTGTTTTTAGACTTAAACATTCTGTTAAAGCGTGGTGTAAAGATTTAATACATGATATTAGATCGGGTTTTACATCTATTTTACTGCACCAATCGGGAATAAGCGGACAGTGTGCTTTCAGGGACATTCTGTTCGGAGAGATATTTCTTATTTGACATTAGTCGTTCGGATGGAACGAGAAAACGAGTTCCCGCGTACACATTGGCGTGTACGTAAAAGATCACTTGGCACATGGAATTCAGCATAAGAGTAGGCCGTAGCACCGCTGTCCGAGCAAAAGTTCACTCTTAGCATACTGTATGACGTACCCGTCTTCATTAGCCCAGTCGGAGCAGCTACAGTAGCACGTTAAACCCCATTTCATTTCATTTCGTATTTGACATACAAATATTATTACAATATTTTAGTTTACAAGGGATTCAAACCCCCTCAAATGATAATCAGAGACTTTAACCGGCCGTGTGAAAACACGTCGCACGAAAAATCTTATCGACAACAAGGGGTAATCTAAGCCCCCAGACATAAATAGGTTTTTGGATGCATAATTTTATTCAAATACGATCCAATTAGAGCTTCATATAATGACCAAATAATAATCAATCAAAGTTAAAAAAAAAAAAAACTATTTGAGTTAATAACAGTGAAAATATGAATAATAAGGTATTTTTGAAACCACCAAAATCTGCAAATAACTTAAAGATACATTATTGGAGATAAGATAACGAGATGGCAGTTCTCGCTATAATAGTTAAAAACTAGATAGTGTAAAGGTAATTTGCTGAAAACTTCAGTCAAATTGATCCACCATGAGCCGAGAAAGAAGCTCGTGAAATTTTGGCATAGTCTCGGTCATCATCACTAAAATCATTGATATAAACAGCAAGTCTCGATTATCCGCTTTTCTTGATTTAATTGTCAACGGCCGTTAGCGGCATATGAATCTAATCCAGCCAACATCGAAGGCTAGCCTTGACATCGAGAGTTTATTATGGTCTGGATAAGTTAATTAATGTCTAATTGATAATTTAGATAACATTTCAGGCCTAAAGAAAGACTTGTAATAAGCAGATTTTGCTCTTGCATAATGCATGTTTAATTGTCATTTCCATGTAGAATTGTTTTTTTAACGGGGTTGGTAGATTACCTAGATTTGTTTTCAGCTCTAGATTACTAGAATGATCAACACAATATCACCAGTAAGAAAGATTCAAATACAAAGCTTGCACCGAGCGAAATACAGATTAGGCACTTAAAACCAACATAATGTTTAAAGGGGACGGGGGGGGGGGGGGGGCTCCACAAGACCCCTTGTTTCCGATAATGTAAAACTTTAGTTTCTTGTCAAATGGTGAAGGTTGCCACTAACTCATTTCTGTTCTATTTGCAGCATTTTACCCCATGTTAAGTAGCTGACAATGTATAAAATTATGAACCAGTTACCCATAGATGTTAAGTATAATGGTCACGAATTTTTTTAACACCCTGTATTTCAGCAGCAATAGGGCTAATGAAGACGACCATACACCATATACCGTGGGCTATGGCCGCTATGGGCAAAACTTTGCCCGAAGGTCGGCGATCGATCTACCCTTATTTCAAATCCAACAGTTCATTTATACGTACACGGGGCCTATGTTTCTCGTCCCACCCGAATGACTGGAAGAACAAATAGGGGGAAAATTACCTAAGTGCTTACCAGAAATACCCCTGGAATATCTTCCCCTAAACCTGTGTACACCAGTTCATATTTCAACGAATAGAGATGGTAGAATTATGATTTTTCCCAGATATTTTATAGGGTTTTTCGATCAAATGGAGCGTTAAAGGGGAAATAAACATAAACAGCTTAGGTATAAGTTGATTTAATAAATGGTTATTGAGATAAAATGTTTTTACATTTTATATATCGTAGCTGGATACATAGATGCAAGCATAGTACAATAACAGTAAAGCCATTCTCTCAAACCCCATCCAGTCAGACACTCTGGGGCAAGTCTGCTGTTAGAAATTGCTACATCTTTTCCCTTCCAGAATCAAGCTGCTGTCTGACGAATGCCTAAAGATATGATGGTCTTGTAGCTTTGGGTTTTGGACGTTCAATTATCTAATTGGTCAAATATGACGTAATTAATTATCGTGATTGGATGGTAAGCCAAATGATGCAATAGTAATTTTCTAATCACGTGTTAATCACGATATTCTTGTTAAACATGGAACCAGCTAATGTTTACCAAATTATACTCTTTTTTATATAACAAAATGCCATTAATTCACTCATTTTGATTTAAGTGCATATTAGACAATATGACTTCTATACAATGTTAACTAAATTACTTATTAAAGATATTATAATATTATGCTATCCTTATATTAAAGAGCAACAATTCTACAATAGTCTTACAATCTTTGGGAGCCACGGTGGCTAAGTGGTAAAGACGCTAGCTCGCTAGCCTGGAGGTCGGGTGTTCGATCCCTGCATTGGCCGAGAAAGTTCATCGGGATTTTCCGACGTAGTTTCCCCTTGTCAGTGGTGCAGAACGGACGGCCTGACAAGGACAGCTGTCTAGTCCTTTGGATGATACGAAAAACCGAGGTCCCGTGTATACATTGGCATGCACGTAAAACATTCCTTGGCAGTTGGAATTCCCGTATGCCCGTCTTCATTAGCCCAGTATAGGAGCATAACAGTAGGACGTTAAACTTCATTTCATTTCACTTACAATCTTTAATACTGGAAACTTATAATAATACTTATCTACATACAGTTACAGGACCGCGGATGACCGACTAGTATCTAATGCTACTAAGTCGGAGGGACCTAATGTGCAAAATAACTATTATACTGTATTTTGTATTACTGAAAAGTTTATTCAGTATTATTGAAAAGTGTATTCTGTATTTTAACACTGTGACATTGGTATTGTAGAGCAATGAAAAATGCACATTGTAGAACTAATATACTATTCAAAACAAGTAGGGGATATTTGATTTTGGGGGCATAATACTAAAATATGCAAATGACTACGAAAAAAGTCACTATAGAACCTAACAGAAGAAACATTTCCAGTTACATGTGACGCCCAAACGCACCAATAGCTACCGCATGGAATGCAGGTGATGCTTGGGATCATCATGGGGGTCCAACCCAAGATTTGTACGACTTTGAATGTTACAGTCATTGTGGCATTGAATTCCAGGGTGGAAACATCAGTTTAATTGTTTTAGTGACCAGAAAACAAATTTTGATATGCGTCGGCTTACCCAAAATGAAAGGTTACGTGCCCTTGGCATGCTACAGATCGGCACAACACAGGCGGTTGTGGCGCGGACGATGAATGTTTCTCAGTCTGTCATAAGCAGGCTATGGTCCAGATACCGTGATACACAATCTGTACAGGACAGACCACGCTCAGGTCGACCAAGGGCGACAACTCAAGCCCAGGATCGATTTATCCGTACCTTGGCCTTGAGAAATCGTGTCATCACAGCAAATCAGATCAGCGCTCGTCTTCAAACAGACACTGGTGTGAGAGTGAGTGGCCAGACGATTCGGAATCGACTGCATAGGGGTCACCTTCGCGCCCGACGTCCTCGCGTGATCCCTTGTTTGAGAGATCATCACATTCAGGCAAGACGTCGTTGGTGTAGGGATCGTCAACACTGGGATAATCGACGCTGGAGCAATGTGATGTTTTCAGATGAGTCAAGGTTCACTGTTGATTTTTTTGACAGACGTAGGATGGTGTCGCGTCGTCGAAACGAGCGCTTCCAAGACGTTAACGTCATCAGACATGATCGATTTGGGGGTGGTTCTGTTATGGTGTGGGGAGGCATCACTGTTGCTGGAAGAACGGCTTTAAATGTTGTTGCAGGGCGTGTTACAGGCCAGTACTACCGGGACAACATCTTGGCAGTCCATGTTGTGCCGTTCGCACGACGTCATGGCCGCCGTTTCATCTTCCAGGATGACAACGCAAGATGTCACAGGGCCAGGATCGTTACAGGTTACCTCCAACAACAGAACATCACCACATTACCTTGGCCAGCACTGAGTCCCGACCTCTCCCCCATCGAGCATGTCTGGGACATGCTTGGACAGAGGTTACGTCAACGTCAACAATGTCCTGCCAATGTCCAAGAACTTGCTGCTGCGTTGCAACAGGAATGGGACAATCTGGACCAAAATGACCTTAGACGTCTCATTAGTAGTATGCCACGTCGGATCAATGCTTGTTTGGCAAACAGAGGAGGATTTACCCGTTACTGACGTGGTTGTGATGCTGTGGTAACTTTGCTGTTTGACCCCGGGTATCATTTTACCCTTATAATGGTCAGTCTGTGCCTTACTTAGTCTAACGATCATTTGGAATAAATCGATGAATGTGAACTTCATTTCATTTTGTCATTTGTTTCTTCGTCAGTTTCATTAGGTGACTTTAATAACACTTAAAAATCAAATATCCCCTACCTTTTTTGAATAGTATATATGTACGTATTTTGAACTGCTGACACATGCATTGTGAACCGTGAACATTGAATTAATAATGGCAACGCTATTCTTCCATATTTAATAGCA